GCAGTCACACATATCTAATAATTATTAATTTTTACTATATATTTAGCGTATCATAGCGTTCCAAAGCGTAGTGTAAATGTACAGCATAATATAATTGCCTAACTATTATTGTAACCGAAAACCATAAAAATCGTAGATGGTCTATGAATTTTATACATTTTAAAAATAGTTGTGGAAGAAAAGAAGAGTTCAGAAAAATTTCTTTCTTTATTACGTCTGTAAAGTATAAGGATCAAAGAAAATAGCAACCATAAAAATTTGTTTATTTACTTATCAAGATTTTTTTTTTCGTATTATTCTAAAAAATATAGTAAATTCCGAAAATATTCATATTATAATGAAGACTATACTCAATATTATAAGACTCAATTTTATATCCATAAAAAGAGGCGTAAATAAAATATAATGTTCAGAGTGTCTTTGCTTCTCAAAAATTGAATAAAAGTCATTGTGTAACCATGTAACCAATAGATTTCGAGTAAAGTAAAAATTAAATTATTTCAAAGAACAAAAGGTTAGAACTTTAAATAAATGTAAATTGGATTCTACTTGACTATTTTGAATAATAGCAAATAAATTGCAAAATAAAAACAAATTTAAACGGATATTTAATATTTGCGAATAAATTTTGATTATATTTATAACTATTTTTCACATTAATTTTTTAGTCTTTCATTTGATTTATTCTCGAAAAGTGAATAGTTGAGTGTTACTACTAAAAAGTATTTCCTAATAAAGATTTTTATTTCTTTTATTCTCTAATCTTAATTATGTTATTCAAATAGTAGTTTTGTTTCAAAGAAATACACGATTATAATAATCAAGATTTATTTTGATTCTATGATAATAGTAAAATAAAAAGCTTTCACAAACGTAAATTAAAATAAAGTCATATCCGTTCAGCCATGAAGGTTTATTCGTTTGATTATATTTTACCATATAATTACTCAAAAAATATTATAAAAACAAATATTTTTCTATTTTAGTTAGTTAGGATTTTTATCACATTAGAAACTATTTTATTTTTAAATAAATTTGTATTTATAAAAATAATATAAAACTTAAAAAAAAAATTAAAAACATGAATACTATATTTCATGTACATACAAGGCTACAGTGGAGGGTATAAGGTGGTATACGCCGTATACCTTATAATTAAGGTCGTATAATCTCTATTGTAGTGAAATCATCAAATAATATAAAAATTAAAGTCATTAGATTATTAATCAATAAAACTTCATTGGTAGTTTATTTAAAAATTTTCGAATATGTATTCTTGAATTTATGCGAGTTACAATCACAAGATGCTAAACAGATAGAAAACAACTTTTAAGTACATTAAAATCAAATGCTTTAAATGAAAAATACTTACAAAAATATTGGGTGGCTAAATCTACAGATGGATCTAATGTTATGGTTGGTATAAATTCAGGTGTAATAACTCTATGCCTGCGAAATATCAAAAACTTTTTACTTAGCATTGCTTAAATCATAAACTTGAACTATCTGTATTCGATACAATAATAGACATACGAGGAATCGACAATTTTAAATGTTTTATAGTTAAATTATGTAGTTTGTATAGTCAATCACCAACACATTCTCGTGTTCTGGAAAGTTTTGGTCAAGATCTAAAATTGTAGTTTAGTAAAATAGTTCATGTATTTAGTACTCGATTGGTATACAGTAGTTTAAAGATAGTAAGAGCAGTTTGGAAGTCATTTGCTATCCTCCATTCACATTTCAAAAGCTCTTGTGATGACCAAAGTAATAATAAAAATACGAGTTCAATATTTATTGGTTTAACAAAAATACTTGAAAATCCAGTATTCATTTTAGATCTTATGTATACTCGTAATGTACTTCAAGAACTTTCAATGTTATCGAATTAATTATAGTCTCGAAAAATTACGCTGCCAAAAGCTGAACAGTCAATAAAAAAAAAACAATTAGAATAATTAAAAGTTTTAAGTAAGAACCAGGAAAATATGCACAAATAGAATTAAATACTAAATCAAAACTATTATTTAATGAAATTGAACTTGTTCCGAATAAAAAAAATTGTTATAAATCAAAATCAATTTATTCAAAGTAAGTTAATAGAATAATGACTCGATTATGTTCGAGGTCAGAAAATGAGAACTATCAATTTCAATTTCTTAGTGATATTTCAGCACTAAATCTAAAGTAAATAAAAACTAGAAGAAGTGGAAGTATTAGGTATGGAAAATTGGAATTACCAAGAAATTGTAGGCGTTTTGATGTCGATGAAATACAAGCTGTTCAAGGATTATGAGCCTTTATAGAAAATAATTAAATAAAACGGATAATTTTGAACCCATTTTAAATACAATCGCATCATTCCTATGTTCGGCAGCTGAGTGCGAAAGAAATTTAAGTTTTATAAATAATATTATTAAAAAATTTGAGAGCATTACTTTTAATTTCAAATGTAGCAAGTTTAATGTTTCTTAAAAGTAACGGACCACCAATTGAAATGTTCAACCCAGAAATGTACGCGAGGTCGTACCTAAAATACCATCACTTAGCTGATGACAACCAATCAAGATTGAGAAGAAATAATTTAACAAAATTGGGTTCCAGACAACATTTATGGAATATTTTTTAATAAAATATTTCAGTAAATACTTTAATAAAAAATTGTTTAGTTTCAATTTTAATTTTTACAAATGTATGTGTTATTTTACTATTCGATTAGACGATTATGTATTTTAGCTACTTTTAAACATAATAACTAATAATAGTATAAATTATTAATATTATAACTCATATAGTATACAATCCGATATTTTTAGGACTACAGCACTGTATATGAATAAACTTATTTTCTTGTTCCTTTTTTCTTTTTCACCCATTTTTGGAGTTTATGTATTACGTTTAGTAGGTATTTGGCCTAAGGATCTCAGACGTATAATTTATGTCTTTTGTCCGTGACCCCGACCATAATACACCAACCTTCCATTTCACTCTCTTTTCCCTGAAACAAAACGCAAACAAGACGTTTTGTGGACAACGGAATAGGGTATACATACATGTACGAGACCATAATGTTTGATGGAGTTTTAGAAACTGTGATCAGTACAAGGGATCGGCCCGCGAGTCCTAAGGGTGGCGTATATATAATAATAAATCTCGATTTACCACCGCCACCCTGGTCGTCAGTGGGGTGAAAAATCATGGATTGGGACGACGGAAATATGGGTGAGGAAGCCAGGATATGTTTCTCACTGGACCCGCCACTACTGTTACCGCTATCGTCCGAGTGTATAAAAGGTCAAACAGGCGTAAAAAGAAAAGGACTATATGGCAGGGGTAATAGTGAACAGGAACTACGGCACTTTAAATCCCAACAAATAAGAGTAGAAGAGGGAGACACACCGATTTATATTGCCTAGAGGCCTTTTTCTTCGTCATCACCGCCGACCCGTGGACTTTGTTATACTTATCATAAAGGCGAACGCGGATATCCGACACGACGGCTAATGTATTCAGCCAAAGAAAAAATAAGAATTCGGAGATTTTTTTCCTTTTTATTTTCCTTCACCAAAGCCCCCACCTCAACAGAAAGGATATATTTATGTTTTAAGTGACTTTAAAGGCGATTTTCCTTAGTGTACCTCTGAGTATGTTCCCTCCATTTTCCAATTCATTCGATTGTTTTGGTCATTAATGCTTTTGGTGTGCATTGTTCACGATAAAATCGCTGCACTTCTTAAGAGAAAAATAAATGTAGAATAAATGTTTTATCTTTCGGCTCTTACCATAATTTTTTTTAACATTTATTGTTATTATTATTTATCGTTTTTATTGTTTCAATTTATAATAAAAACTCACACTTCATATAATAATAATAATATTATATTATAATAACATTATAATCATAATAATAATAATATTTATTTTAGTTGGTAACATTATACTGCAATTTAACCAGTATTACATTACACATAATTTATTTTACCGAGTGATATTTGAAACTATGTTAACATTTTTGAAATCGAGATGATATTTTTTGGGGAAAATTGAAAACATCCAATTGCATAGGTAATTTCGTAAATGGACTAATTTTCACGACACCAGATGAGTTTTAATGCATCGGAAATTGCTAAAAGTCAACAATATTTGATGTGGTGAGTAGAGATGGTGAGAAACCAATATGGTTTTGATGCGGTTGTTTGGCTCAGAGCTGCGGCGGGAATTTCCCTCTGGAAGAGCAACATGAGTGGGTCTAAAAAACGTCATGACATTTGAACCCGTGCAACCCCTCGGGGTATTACCAAAGGATAAAAAGCGTAAAAGAGTTTAAAGCAAAAATATTCGATATAAAAGTTCACTGGTGGTGTCGTAAATCATGAAGTATCGTGACTAAATAGACGTTTACGCCGTGTGAAGCCCGAAAATGGGACAACGGTACAGGCGGTAAAATATTGCGGGCGAGATAATGGGAAATGTTTTGACACACGAGTTTTGTAGGGGTGATAAATCTGAGTTAAAGTTAAAATTTGTGTCAGGTGAAATTTGTTCCATCAACTCAGTCGAAAATGCGTGTATACAGCAGTAGTTTATCTAATTGATATGAGGCATTCCCAAGATCTACAAACAAAAATATTTACTACTCATACAATTTTTTTTCCATTAACGATAGGAAAAAAAATTATACACGACTATCCCGAACAGAGGGAAAAAAAACCCCAAACCGCGTTTAATAAATTTATGATTTTACACACCAAGCACAAATAATATCCTAAGGTTTTTGTTGACCTCTCGGGAGGATAAAGCAAACGAGAAAAGCGATTCAAAATCAAGATTTTGTAATGATTAAACTATACAAACAATGTTATCGCTATTCATGGTGTTCAAAAGTATCGTAATCTTGTTAAAAATTGTGAAATGGTTAAATACCGTATAAGCTTACTTTAATAACATAACAACTGAACAAAATATAGCATTGCAAAGAGATAATAGTGAAACAAATTTACCTTAAATCCTTAACTATATATCTTGAGAAACCAATGAGTTTCGAATAAGTCACTTGGTCAATATTTTATTTCTGTGAACAAAATAATAATAAAAATGTAGATATGATCACAATTATTAATGACTAATTGACAGTATATTGTTAAAATCCAAAATTAATGGATTTCCTTGATCATAGAAACGTCATAATTAAATACTACATCAATCATTGAATATAAAAACGTATAAATTATCAAAATTTGAATTGGAACAGGGTCATATATTATTTCGAAAAGGTTGGCGGGTTCTTTCATTTAAAGCACTATTTTTTTTTTTTTTGACAAAACGTATGTATCACTAACAAAGATTTTATATTTATATTCAACGGCTTAAAATTATTATGAATAAGAAAATCCTATGTGTATATCATTAAACTAGATGTGCACGAGATTTTAATAAGAGTTCAACGATTATTCGACAAATTTAATATAATATTATAGTACAATACGAAGTCTTAAAATCCCGAACTCTAGACTTTGGTACAAATGAAACAAGACGTAATTTAACAAGTAGTATAACACTCGAATCGTATATTCTGTAAGAAAGAGGGTTGTTTTATATTTTGACAAAAACCAACCCTGACGTACGCGCATATACCCGCTCCTGTGTCAGGTCTTATCTGTGTAATTCAGGCTGCGTCTCTTTCAAATCCAGTCTTTCAAATCATGTCCGGTCATTGTTTACCGCTAAAGAACCAATTGTGAAATACACCACATCAAATGTATTTTCGGTTCAATAAATGTCCAAACAAACATTGCGGCGATCAACTATTCAAACTCATTCCCTATACTACTGTTGAAAATTACAGCGGGTGTGAGCATACAAAGGTATTTATTTATTTATTTTTTTCCCCCTACAAAATCCCGTCGGCATGGCTTTTCGTATTAATTCCGGAATTATTTTTGCATGAAAACTAAAGCGACCATGATAATTATTGCTATACTTTCCGGTAAAGCTACGCACCGTAGTAGTTTTGTTCGTTATTTTATTATTATACATTTATTTTTTATTTTATTTTTTTATTAAATGTGTACATTTTTATATCGCTGTTTTCCCATGCATGTAGAACAGGGCCATTCTAGCCCCACAGGAGGGACGGCTATAAATTAACGAGAATTTCGCTGTGCTCATTCCCATTCAATTTTCTGAAACACAACGTCCTCTCCCCTCTTTCCCGTTAGTGTCAGTGTCTCTCTTTTGTTATATTATTATTTTTGTTATAAATACATATACTTTATGTACGTTATTTTACGTTCGGTGAACTTTTTCTGCATGATATATTAACGCGATATTCCGAAACGCGAAATCTATAGACATGTATTATTATTGATTTTCACTGTCACTACTCGAACACGTACACATTGCACACGGATTAAAGCATATTATATTATAATCTGTACCGAAACAGTACTGTTCGACTGAATATCGTATGTATATAGTTGCTTTAATAATGTTTGTGCAAGTTTTCTGTTTTTATCAAAATAAAATACTTGATGTATCGAGATAACTAAACGGTTAATATAACACGAATACCTTCAAATATAACTAGTTGTAGTTAATAATTGGTAAAATACATTATCTTGCAGAATTCCATATGTACGATGTCATTCAGCTTAACATGAAAGTAACAGTATTTAAAAAAAAAAAAAATTGTGAGACGCACCACCGTTCTAACCAACAAAGCAAAAAATAACAAAAAAGTACTTAATCAGAACTACAAACTAAGAAACCACCTAAGAACCAAATCAATATACGTAGTTTTAATTAATATAAAAATTTTAGATGGTAAATATCAGGGCTTAAAACCGCTAACCGGTTTATAAAGAAAACCAGTAAAAACCGTACATTTGAGAACCGAAAACAGAAAACCGCTTTTAGTTTTGGAATGCTGGAAGCGATTATTGGTTTTCGGTAATCAAGGTAAATATCTAAATATTAACATCAAAGCGATTACCTCGTATTTTCAATCCGGTTTTATAACCAAAACCTATTCCCGACCAAAATAATTAACTGTTTTTTCGTGGTTTAATGCTTGAATTATGTCAAGATTATATTATACTATTATAGTTAAATTTAATTTTCCAGCTATATTTTTAACTATTTATTATAATTAATTAGCCCCTAATAGCCCCAAATAGTGGTCATTGAGTATTGCTTATCTGTTGTCAATATCATATATATATATATATATATATAGCTATAATTATACATTATAAATACTGTCATAAACGCCGTCGTCGTGGTGCGCTGATTCCTATTACGAAATAGTAGGTGGAATAGAAGTCCTTTTAGTATTTATGATATTTTAATACTGTTTCAATATCTGCTCATTCATTTTTTAGGGTACTGTATTAAATACAATATAATCAAAAAGTTCTGTGGCAATGTATCAATCTTAGTGTCATCTTAGAAAATTATTATATTTAATTTCGGTTTTTTACCGTTATAAATAAAAAAATTACAACAATAAAATTTTTTTATGCAATTCAGTTTTTTGATTATCATTATCTTGATCATAATATGTTTTAAATTTTAAAGCAGTTTTAAAGAATTAATATTGAAATTGAGTGAAATCGACCAAATTAAAGCATATTAAGTTTTTAATTTTGTAATAATAAAAGTTATATTATCAACCCATGAATCGCCTAAGTAAACGGTTTTAAAAATTTGATTAAAAAATTGAAAAATATGATTTTTAAAAACCGGTTTTAACCGATAACCGATTCCCTTATCATATAAAAAACCTTTGTCATTGGCTTTTAAAAGATTAACGGTTATTACAGTTTTTGAAATATCGTTAAGGAAATAGTTACTGTTTACCATAATATCAAAATTAAACGAAAACCGATTACCGGTTTTAAAGAATTTTCGGCTCCTACTGGAGCCGATTACCAACTTTATTAGGAACGGTTTTTAGCCTTGGTAAATATTATATTTTGTGAAATTTTCAACAAAAGAACTTGTAGAATTAATTTCATCTACTCTTGTTTATTTTATAAAAAGAAAAAAAAAGTTGCTTTGATTTATGATTTAATTAAATAGGGTATGAAATATGTATACACTTTACCAAAATGTACTACTCATTTCACAGTGGAAAAATAATATATAAATACTAAATTGCGATTATAATAACTTATAATTTAATTATTAATTGAAATTAATTTAAAACTTCAAATTATGAACAAAATAAAATTTTATTTTACAATTTAAAGAAAAAATATATTAAATTGTTGTTATGGTTTTCAAAATCGTATATATTAATTCACATTTTTCTAATATTTCAATAGCTTCATTTTTAATAATATTTTGCATACATGAGTATTATGTACTTATATATAATTTGCTCCCATTAATAATTGTTTGACTTATTTTATTACCTATATTGAATAATGGCTATTGACCAACTATGACTGAAAGCTGATGGTATTTATGATCCAATTGATTGTATCATTGTAAATTATACAAAATATTTTTTTTAATTTGTTTGGATACCGGTTCAATTAAATATAGTTAAAATATTTACTAATGGACATAAACTTATTTTTCATGATATGGATGTGGATATGGATCACATTCACTGAATATTCGTAAAATACAAGATAAACTCGAGCGTTATTTCATTCTGCTTGAAATAACTCGTTGGTGTGTACTCAACAAAGTTAAACCATAAGAGCAAATACGAATAGGCTAGAAATATATCCTAAACACAAATACGTATTGTTAACAGTGACATTTGGTATCATTGTGACAATAACAAATATCGTTAAATTCGTTTTGATTCATTTGAAGTTACCATCACAACTATCGTAAATTAATTTTACATTTTGTTTAATTCAAAGTTTGGTTGTATTTTGCAAAATCAAATTCCAACAAAACATGTAAAGCAATTAGTTTTTTTTTCTTAAATTTGGCTTCTAAATTAGTCAAACTACTATTATTAATAATATCGAAAATTATATTGTTTAATTATTTGTTATGATCCTTATGTGATTAAACTACATGAATAAACAAATAATAATTAAAATAAACTATGATTATGGATAATTTTAAATGATTTTAATTACATTGCGTAAATTATTATGTGCTCGACTTGGCAAAATGACTTTATTCACATTAAAAAAAAAAGAGCGTCCCCAAAACTTGTTAAGTGTAATAATAATAACGTAATAATAGTAGGGGGACGCAAACATTTTTAAATATTAATTGGAGTACTCAGTTCCCCCTCAAGTCGAGCACTGGGTATGGACCATAAGACAGTGTATACACCATACGTCATATTGAGATTTAGGAAGAAGAGTTAGCCAGTTGAGTAAGCTAGGTGTCATATTAAACCTATAAAAAATTATTTTTTCACTTTCTAAAAATAAACATTGTTACTCCAAAATGTCGGCTCTAGTGATGCCAATGATTGCATGACAACTATGGTTAACTAACTAAATAAACATAAAATAATTACAATACACCGACATATATGTATAGACTATGAAGGTATAATAGTAGGTTCGAAATAATTATTGACCTTCTACTAAACCTATGTATAAAATTATTATGATTATAGTTATATAAATAATTATTTATTATTTAAACTATTATAATGCAGTGAACTAGCATCACGAACAAGTATAATAATTTAGATTTTAAGTGAGGTGAGAAATATATTTCATTATTGTATTAGGAATATTTATAAATTCCAATTTTATTATGATACAAATTATTATTTATAGTAAGGAGTTATAAGTAATATTGTTTAAAAATATATCAATAAAACAAAGTATTGAAAAAATGGCTTTATTCACAAATAAATCAAATTAAATTGAACAAACTTTGAAACATATTTTTCTTATAACATAACATATTTAAGCAAACGTATTACAATTGCATTCGTACGAGGATTTATTTATTACGAGCATTTATCACGGGTACGCAAATTGCATTCGTTAAGCACTGCACATATTCGTCCAACCTCGATTACGTGAAAATGATAGTAATTATGATTATTATTATCATAGTGCCATGTCGATTTTACAGTATCAT